CTAATATTGGAAGATGGTGTCTCAGCAGATCCCTTCTCAAGGACCCAGAGGAGACAGGAAATGAAGCATAGTTGAGGTTTCCATTTCTAGTTAATGCTTAACTCCCCTCTCTTTCTCCCAACAAATAGTGCAAGAGGTAGTCAGGGCACTGGCTTCAAACAGATTTGCATTTGAATCTTTGCTACATGCTGTGCCAACCTTGGGCTAATTATTTGCCTTTCTGGGCTCATTTCCTCTCTCTCAACCTCTGTAAGAACAGGGACCATATGTGCTTTTAAAAAAATATATTTATTAGTTGTCAATGGATTTTTTACTTTATTTATTTGGTGCTGAGGATCGAACCCAGGGCCTCACATATGTCAGGCAAGCACTCTACCACTGAGTGACAACCCCAGCCCAACCATAGGTCCTTTTTTTGCTGCTTTGTCTATGGTGAGCACTGTTCAGGGCACATAACACAGTTAGTTCTCATAAATGCCTGTGGAATAATGGAAATAAACCTCTTATCCACCCCGGCCCTTGTGACCACTCTGCATAAAGCATTGTTCTTGATCTGGCTAGTATGAGGATGAGCTAGGTTTATTATTTTAAAAAAAATATATGATTCTTCTATAAAGAAGCAACTCTACTGTCAAGCAACAAGAATCCCTTTTTGCTGGTGGATTCTCATTATTCATACCAGTGGGATTTGTTGTTGCGAGTCCCCTTGATTCCCTTCTATGCCAGGTACTGGGGAGAAGCAAATTCCTGGTAACTGTCCAGGGAGGGAGTAAGCATGCTACTGCCTCCCTCCAGGGCCAGGTGTCCCTCTCCCTCTTCCCTTTCATCCTCCTCCTCTTCATCCCTCTTTCTCTGCACACAGGGAAGAATGGCTGCCAGACATTGCCTGTTTGGAAAAGTACAGCTCAATAGATATGAATCAGCTTGGGCAGGCGAAAAATGATTCATGTCTGACCAACTTGATTTAGTGCAGGTTGTCCATTCTGAGTCTTCTTCTCCCTTCTAATTAGAGGAGATTGGTCTTGATGGTAGGAGGGAAGAGTCTGAATTTAATCTGTTTGTATTTGTGGAAGGCCGGGGATGGGATGGATAAGGGGATGCTTTCCCATTTGTCAAAGCACTAGAGTGGAGGAGGAGGAGGAGGAGGAGGAGGCGGCGGTGGCAGCGGCAGTGGTGGTACCCTTGGGGCCTTCTGGAATGGGCAACCTGGTAATGAACAGCCCACAATCCTGCCTTTCCAATGTTCCCCATCTCAAAACTGTGGTTCATGATGCCCACTCCTGACTTGCCTCCAAAGAATGCATGAAGATTTAAGGTTAATTACTTTACCAGACACAGCTCTCAGAGTCACTGGGCACAGTCATGGCTGGAGAAGAGGCACAGGGATCGACACATCTCCCCTCATCTGTCAGCACCCACAGTCAAGCCTGTCTGCTGCGGGTGGTGCTGATTTCCCCAAATATGTGTCAGCCCTGGGCCATTTGCCAGATTCCCTGTGCTTCCTGTGTCTTGGGGCAGCTTAGTTCCTCAAGCCCTTGGGCAGAAGGGCCTGAGAACTCTGTGCTTCCTGTGCCTCCTCCAAGAACATGTCATACCATCTGTTAGTCACTCGTGTACCTGCCACATGCCAGGTACCATGTTGAGAGCTGCAGTGGGTTATACAGGCAGCCTCTGTATCTCACTGGGTCTTCCCAGCAGCCCTCAGATGTTTGTCATGTCCCAGCTTTTTACTGTGGAGAAAATGGGAGACCCAGGGAGTCAAGTACCCAAGGTATAGCACGAGTCCAGTGACCAGCCAGCTGGCTCCTGACTGTGAAGCCTRTGCTTCTTCTAATGCGTTGGGCAATAACAGGTGCACTGAGGTCCTCTCCCTAGTGGGCCTCTGCAAGGTGCCAAGGGCTTCGTGCACAGAGGGTTCTAAGACCAGGGTCTGTGCCTTACCCTCATCACAACAGTGCTATAACCCCTCCTGGTTATCTTAAGGCAGAGAGAGAAACATCCAGGCCAATAAGGTAGATTGCTATTCTTAGAAATTCATTTCAGGAAGGGTAAATACGAATGTTTTTTCTAGAAGTGTAAATATGAAGGCTTCTCACGTGACTAGAATGTGCCATGATTCCCCTGTCTGCACACTGCCTCCCTGTTGCCCACTGCTGGTAACTTTCAACTGGTGAGGAAGGGAAGCCCCCTTCAAAGCTTAGACACTTCCCTGGGGCCCATTTATGGTTAAGGAGGCCCTTACTCGAGTCATCTCCTTACCACCTTTAGCCAAAAGTAAATCCCTCCATCTGTGAGGGCCTTGGTCCTTCCCTAATCAGTTCTCAGCAGGTGCCCTTCCTAAGTTTCATGCTTGCTTTCTCTCTCCAGGTGTTGACTTTAAGATGAAGACCATAGAGGTTGATGGCATCAAAGTGCGGATACAGATTTGGTGAGTTGGGTAGGAGCAGGCAGGTTTGGGCAGAGAAGACCCTGGGTTGCTGCTTAGAAACAACTGTCATGGGCCATCCCTAGGCCTCGTCTGGGATAACTGGACACCTCTATGAAGGCGAGAAGTCAAAAAGTCCATCCCAAGAATGAGCCTTAACCTCCTATCTTGCTCAACAAACTTCATGGAATAGATGAACAAATCACCAAAGGGTAGGAATTAGAAGGATTGGTGAACTAACTGTTGTGGGTTTATTGTAGAATTAGGCTTTATCCTCAGGCTGTGTCACACTGGTTAAGACTGAAGGATAGAAGGCTCTATCCTGGGTTTACTGCCTGATGCAGTTGCCACTAGTAGCCACCAGGGGCTGCTGTGGCCCTCTTACCTGATTGTCTTGAGAGCACTACTTTTGCAGGTGGAGCTACCTCCTAATCCCAGAAGGGATGGTAAAGACATTGCCTTTGGAGGTCCCATGGGCACTGGGGGTGGAGCATCATCCTCCCATTCAACCAAGTCTGGCCATAATGGCCAAATTTTAGAGTTGTCCAAGGCTCAGTTGGTGCAGTGCAGATACAGTTATCAGGAGTGTCCCAGGCCTGTGGGCCTTGTCATTGCCAGTATAGAGGAGCTGACATCATATCGCAGAGTCAGTTGTGCTCAGACCCCTTTGGGGACCAAAGCACCACTGATTTTTCACCTTGCAGCTCCCTATTTTTTCCTACAAAGGCACAGGGTCTCCCAGTTCTTGCTCCTCCCTCCCCATCTGCTCCCACGGTCCCTGCTGCTCTGAGGGACTGGCTTTCTACTGCAGGGACACAGCCGGCCAGGAGAGATACCAGACCATCACAAAGCAGTACTACCGACGGGCCCAGGTGAGCCACCATTTTCAGGTAGTGGAGGTTTAGCTGCCACCCCACTTTCACTATGGGTATTTGAGGGGTGTTTGTGGTTATTTTGGTTACTGACCCCCTTGGATTACCTTCAGAGGAGGGAACCTTAGGGCAGTCTTTCAGAGACCCGCTGATCAGTCATTTCTCAGTTATTCATGGAGCACTTACTGTTGGTAGGTCCCCTACCCTCATCCCTAACTTTCACCCTCTACCCTGGGCCAAAGACCCAGGACAAAGCATGTGATGCCTTCCTACCCTAGAGAGTTCTGTGATGGTCCTAGGAAGTGGCAGCTGTGGGGGGTCTGAGAGAGAAGGAGACATTTCTAGATACTGAGGGGTCCTCATTATACTAAGCAAGGAGAGTGGCCCAATGTGTAAAGACCCCCCTCCCCCATCTGGCTTCATGAGTGCACTCTTTCTGTGTGCAACCTCCCTCCCCCATCTCTCTTTCTCTCTCTCTCTCTCTCTTTTTTTTTTCTCAGGGAATATTTTTAGTCTACGACATTAGCAGTGAGCGCTCTTACCAGCACATCATGAAGTGGGTCAGTGATGTGGATGAGGTAGGAAACACCACCTCACTGATGGGTGGGGAAAGGGCACCTCAGGGGAAGGTAAAGCAGGGGCCAGGCCAGATGGGAAGGGCCAAAGCTCTCAAGGGCTGGTGAGTCAATGCTACCAGGAAACCTAAACCCTGCCTTCTACCGGCTGGAAGAAGAGCTCTGGGTGGGTGAGTCATGCAGAGCAAGCTGAAGCGGCCATGCCCTCATGCTCTGTTCCTTGCCAGACCTCCATGCTGTGTCTCTCCTGGAAATAAGTTAGTTCCATACCCACCCTGGGAGTAGATTCCTTCCTGAAATCTCAGGACCGGGTGCAATTACAGGACTCTGGGCTTCTAGACCAGAGCCATGACTCTGCCGATAGCTGGGGAGCCTTGGGCAAGCCATTTGAGCTCTCTGGGTCCCAGTTCCTTATCTGTTGAACAGGGGCTGCCAGTCTTAAGTATAACTTTTCCAATTCAGGTACCATTTTTTCAACCCAATAGGGCACTAGGATTTAGCCAGAGTGTCTTCTATCCTAAGCCACCCCTGGGACACTCTGGGGTCAGTCAAGGTATAGTAGTCCCTCCTTATCTGCCAAGACTCTCATTCCAAGACCCCAGTAGATGCCTGAAACTAAAGATAGTACCAGACCCTTTTTTCCCCTATACAAACATACCTATGATAAAGTTTAACTTATAAATTAGGTACAGTAAGAGATTAACAATAACATAGTAAAATAAAATAATTTTACTATAATAAAAGTCACTTAACACTTAAACACACATTGTTTATTTTTAGAATTTTCCATTTAAGTTTTAGACCATAGTTGACCATAGGTAACTGAAATTGGGAAAGCAAAACCACAGATAATGGGGGACCCCTTTACTTGGTAGAGCCTGACACTTGCCTCTGGTCACTCCACCGAGTCCCTAGGGCTCTTAACCTTGGTGGTGGTTTAGAGGTCAGTGTAGACTGGGACAGGGGAGATGGGAGGGAAGGGCATTTCTCAATGACAGTTCTGCTTCTCTTTTGTCTCCAGTATGCACCAGAAGGTGTCCAGAAGATCCTTATAGGGAACAAGGCTGATGAAGAGCAGAAACGGCAGGTGGGGAGAGAGCAAGGGCAGCAGGTAGGTGGAGTCCTTCTGTAGTACCTCCAGGGCCAGTCCTGGGAGCGGGGACTGGGAGTGCACTCACCATCGTCAGGTCCTCTCACATGTTCCACAGCACCTTCAGGCCCTGGGGAGTTGCCATCTTTGAGAGGCTGCTCTCTGTCCTTCAGGACAGTATTTGGGGTCCATCCAGAAACAAAGACCTCTTCCTCAAAACAGGGACTTACCAGAGCATCCCTGTTAGGGATGAGGAAGGACTTCAAGTTGCTAATGTCTTCTTGAATCACATCCAGGCATAGCTATGTTTTGCAGTGAGGAAATGGATTCCTATCCTCCTTGTGCTGGGAAAGAAGTAGGGAGGAAAGTGAGGCAGTGAAAGGCCCTCAGTCAGGTGTGGAATGTTCAAGCATGCAGGAAGACCATCCTCCCAGAGAACAGGAAGAAAGACTGATAGTATGAGACAAGAGTCCTCCACCCACTCTGAGGACCTCGAGAATTTTTCTCTCCCTCTTCAGTCAATAGCATTCCATTAGCCCTTAAAATAAAATTGATTTTTTTGGTTACAAAAAAATAATACATAGTCATTGAAAATGTGGAAGTAGAGGTAACCCTGTGAGAATAACAGTATTTATCAAGCACCACATGTAGGGCACTGTGCTCAATAAGTGCTTTTAGGAGCATGACCCCATTTAATCAACTCATTACTTTAGGTCATGGACACTGTCATTCTCCTTTAACAGAAGAGGAAGCTGGGGCTTAGGGAGAATAAGTAGCTTGTCCAAGGTCCTACAGCTGTTATGTGGCAGTCCCAGGGAACTTCATCTGGGTCTCTTGCACTCCAGAGTCACTCCATAGTGTTTACTAACATGCCGCACTACCACTGCATTTTGGCATCATTGTGTCCTGAGGTATGATGTGTGAACTGGGGGTGTACGTGCGTGTTGGAGGAGTGGGGTGTATTTGTGGATCATCTTTCCCCATTCTGTGCCAGTCTATGTCTTGGAAGGAGCCCAGTCTCATCTGAGAAGTGGTCTGCTCTGAGAAATTGTCACTGCACACCGTGGTCTGCGAGTGTACATGCGAGGTGGCGTGGGTGCCTCCCTTCCCTTACTGACTCTCTTTCAGAAATGTCCTTCTCTTGCAGCTGGCTAAGGAGTACGGCATGGACTTCTATGAAACAAGTGCCTGCACCAACCTCAATATTAAAGAGGTGAGACCACTGGGCAGCAGCTGCCCTGCCTCTGGCTGAGTCCGCAGAGTGGGGAGGTGAGAGGAGGAGGTGGAGACAGGAGCCAAGATAAGATAGGACTGGCCCCTTGGGCGTTACAGAGTTGCCGGGAAGAGAAGACGCTGGCTAACCCGTGCCCCTTGGTTTTCCAGTCTTTCACGCGTCTGACAGAGCTGGTGCTGCAGGCCCACAGGAAGGAGCTGGATGGTCTCCGGATACGAGCCAGTAACGAGCTGGCCTTGGCAGAGCTGGAAGAGGAGGAGGGCAAACCTGAGGGCCCAGCGAACTCTTCAAAAACCTGCTGGTGCTGAGGGTCCTGTGTGGGGAAAACCCCTTTCCCTTTCCCTCAAGAGGCCTGTGGGCAGACAGGGGAGCCTGGACGTTGCCTACTGCTGTCCTCTCATTTGACAACCCTGTCAAAAATCAGTAGCTGCTACTCTTCCCCTGCCTGGCCCTGAGAGCAACTCTGCTGGCATCTCTGAGCAGCCTGTGCCCCCAGCCCCTCTACCTTGGAGTGGTATCCTTCAGCCTGTTTCCCCAGCCATGGGCCTGCTGTGACCCCCATGGTGTGCTTTGAGCGCCGTCCCTCCACCAGAGCTCCCTGGACAATGGCTGAGGCTGGAGTCAAGACTGCTTAAAGGCTCCTTCTTTCTGAGTGCATCTTGGTCCTCTCTGCTTTTTCTCTTTTCTTCCCGCTCTTCACCTCCTTCCCTCAAATGTGTTTCCTCTCAAAGCTCCTCCTACCCTTGCCTGTGTGTCCCTGTGTGGCTGCCAGAGCAGCTCCTTCCTTCCCAGCCCTGCCTAAGGGAGTGGACCCAGGCTCATAGGGATGTTCCATCCTCTGCTCCATGGGGGACCTCCACCTGCTCTGTGGGTGGGCCAAAGGCCAAGGGTGCTTCTTCCTCTTCTCCTTGTCTCTGCCCCTTCTTGTGCCATGGGCCTGCCTCCCCAGTGACCTGGGAAAGTGGATCATGGAGGTAGGAAGGAAACACCAACTGGTGGTCCTCATGTCTGGGCTGTCCTACCTCTCTGTGCTCCCCCTGCCTGAGCTCTGGCCTTGCTTAGCTGCCTACCTGCCTCTGTGGGAACTGAGCTCAGAGGCAGGTGTTTCAGAGAGAAAAAATGATGAGGGGTTGCAGGGATAAAAAGTCACCTCAAGTCTCTACCTCCCATGCAGGGTGTACACAACTTCTCACCACATGGGCCCCTGAATCTAAAGGCCTGAGGGTACCACAGGGGCAAGGAGATCCCTGGGCCCAGAGCACTGGCAAACTAACCATGCAGTCCAGAAAGAGGAGCACCCACAAGTGAAGGACTGGCTCCTAGCTGTCAGGGCCAGAGCAAGGGCAAGCAGGCCAGGGTCAGCATTTTGTAAAGTAGAGGGGATGTGGTGGCAGCAGGGCCTCACACACTCTAGGCTAGCACTCTTCCACTGAGCATGTCTCCAGCCCTGCTTTACCTCTCTTGTGGCAGAAGAGAACTTCCCCATACTTCCTGGCAGAGGTGAGAGGTGATGTAACCACATCACTCTTCTTTCACTAAACCCAGCTTTCAGCAGTCAGGGTTTTCCTGGGTCCCAGAGTTTGTGGGAGAAAAGCAAAGATTTCATGGGAAGAAAAGGAGGAGGCCCTGGGTAGGAATGCTTGGGACTCTTCAGCCTAAGTCAAAGTGCTCATCTTGGCCTCTTGCTCCTACGTAGGCTCGAGGGTGTGCCAATTGCACTGTGGGGAGGGAAAAGGACTTCCGTCTCCAGAGTTCTGTGTTCAGGAATTTTCTTTAACCGCCAAATAGTCCAAGAGTCCTTGTTCCCTTTCAAGAGGGAGCAAGTCAATTGCCAGCCCTGCTTGGGTTCCTCCTGATCTTTCTGGAGTGGGAGAAGCCTAGGTGAGAGGATCATTCCTAGTCTGTACTACATGCTAGGATTGGAGCCAAAGCAAAGAACTGGGCATCGAGCCCCAAGGACCCAAAACCAGGGCACATACCTGTTGAAGAGAAGAGCTCTATTTCTTACTCTTCAAAGAAGAAGGAGGTGGAAATAAAATCATTAGGCACTTTCTCTAGGCTTACCAAACCGGGAAAAACAGCTAGCAGGAGAAGGTGGCTCAGGATTTCGGAATGGGGGACAGGTGGAAGGAAGAGAGGAACAAATCACTGGCTAGTAAGTTCAGAGAGCTGGTTCTTTAGGATGAAGCCATGAGTGGCTGGGCGCTTCTTCAAGGACCAACTTATGCAGAAGCACCCTGGGCATGGGAGTGGTAATGTCAACCCTGCCTATCCTCAGGAAGGAGGAGAGAGAGGAGAAGTTATATTAGGCACTGGCTCCAACCTGTGAGCCAGTGTTGTCACTTCCTCTGCAGGTCAGGCAGAGTTCCAGCGTCTCTCTCCTAACCCCCTCAGGAAAGAGGGATTCTGTTTTTACTGTATCCTAAGGGATTGAGAAGGGAGAACATGGGCCCAGGAGTCTATGGACTGATGAGCTCTCTCCACAAGGGTCACGGCTGGGAGCAGAGGAGGGCTGGGATTTTAGGATGCAGCTGCGCTCCCCAGGTACCAGAGTTGGCCCCTTGCCCCCAAACTTTAGTGCAGGAGGTGGTCTGGGCTGCCATTAGACCAGGAATGTTGAGCAGGTTTTCCCAGCCTGTCTTTTGGTCAGTACCTCTGCCACTTTGTCCTGAGACAGCTCAGCCCCTGGCACCACCTGCTCCTGAGCCCCACCATCTCCCTGTGATGGGTGAACTTTGTGTACTGTGTCTTGGGTCCATTATATGAATTGTGAGCAGGGTTCATCTATTTTAAACACAGATGTTTACAAAATAAAGAATATTTCAAACCACAGGTATGGTTGGCTGTTTGAGTTCCTGGGAGGAGGTTTCACTGGGACCCTGGTGGTAACCTGGGAGGGGGAGGCCTCTGGTAGAAGAGACCTCAGAATTCTAAAGCAACAGCAGGAAAATGATGGTGAAATGGAGAACTTTGTCCTTTTTTGTGTGTGCCTTCGCTAGTGCTACCTGTAGGGGAACTCAAAGCAAAGGCCCCCTGCCCTGAAAGAAATAAGATGAAGCACAGTCATTGAGAGGACTGAACATCCGTGTCTGAGGGAAGAAGAAGCTGAACATCCCAGTCAAGTCTAAACGGGTCTTTGAGGCCAGTATAGTTCTCATCTGTTCAGTGGATTAGGAACAGGTCTTGTGAAGGCATGAGAAGGGATTGAGTAATCTTTCAGATTTGTAATTGGATATCTTAGGGGAGAGAGGCAGACGTGGAACCTCAGGACTCTAGGTAGTTAAGGAGGCTGACGTTGCTCAGTGGTAGAGCACTTGCCTAGCATATATGAAGCCCTGGGTTCAATCCTCAGTCCTGCCAAAAATAATAATAATAAACACTCTGGGATATGGATTTGGTTAAGGAGTTAGAGAATGTATGGGGGTAAGGATAGAAAGATGAAGAAAGAAAGGAGTGAGGGCAGGACAATCAGTAGTCTTAAGATCTTAACCGTACTTTACAGTTTACAGAACACTGTGATACTTGGCTCTTCTGTTTCTAATAATCACTATATGAGAGAGGGAGTGTGGTTATCTTTATCCACACTCAACAGATACGGAAACTGCTTGGAGAACTTCAAGGATTTGCCACAGGGCCCCAAGTAACTTGTGGAATTACGGCTGGAAACCACTGTAGTAGTGGTGAAGGTTTGGCATTTCAATTTAGAAAGAAGAAATCTCGTTTACAGTCAGAATTGAGAACCACCCACCTGAGCTTTTCTGTCCAGTGCTGCTTCCAGAATAACCAGTGTCCTGCAGAAAGCTGTGCAAATCACACATTTGAAGTACAGGCCCAAAGTCATGAGCTTCTGAGAAGTGGGGCTGCTATGAGGCAGAGCTGGGGACGGAGGTATTTTAGGAGCATCTCACCAGTCTTCATCAATTATGAGAATTGAGGAAACTAGGAGACTCCTAAGGATCCTAGGTTGAGCTGGAGGAAAGGGAGGGTGTCCCCAACGCCATACTCTGAGCTCCTATGGCCTGGCCCAAGAAGGCCTGCAAAGGGGCAGCCACTAAGAGGTGTCTCCAGAGCCCAGGTACTAGGGGAAGCTCTAGGCAGGAAGATAAATATGGCAAGTTAATGTCAAGGTTTCAGTCACTGTCAGAGCCAAGTCCCTCTGACTCAGTGGCTTGGTATGGACACTTTTGAGTGACATCCAGGAACTCTTTTCAGCCTTAGCAGAGGACACACTTTGTTCCTGCCACTCCTTCTGGTGGCAAAAGATTCCATTCCCACTTAGATCATGGAAGCTTGCTTTTAGTGAGCAGCCAGATGAGATATGGGGTTCCTGTGCACTTAAACAGCCATGAACACGCCGCAACGCAGAAAAGCTAGGCACTCCCTGGTGAGTAGTTCCTCCATCTCAACAAATGACTCTCAAGACCAGCTGCTCCCCAGTCTTGCTTACTCTTTGTTCTAAGAGGCAGCTCCCAATGGGTGTGTACCTGTGGAAACACTCTCCAGGAAAACATCTGCCTTACTGAAATTTCACACTAAAATCCCAAAGCCAGGGAAAGCCAGTCTTACTGATACAGAAACCAAGGCATTTTTTAAAAGTGATTTATTTGGTTGGTGGGTACATCAAAGAATGAAGTTGCTTTAAGGTCTGTTTAGTTTCTGTGGGCTTTTTATTTGGGGGGGACTCCCCTGATAGCCCTTAGCAATTCCCAAGATGCCAGGCTGTGTGACTGGTATTGACATCTGGACAGCCCACTTGGATCAAGAACGACAGTAGCCGTGCTTTGATGCACTCTTTTTTGGTGGGGATGGGTACCGGGGATTGAACTTGGAGGCACTCAATCACTGAGCTACATCCCCAGCCCTATTTTGTATTTTATTTAGAGACAGGGTCTCACTGAGTTGCTTAGCAACTCGTTTTTGCTTAGGTGGGCTTGAACTTGTGAACCTCCTGCCTCAGCCTCCCGAGCTACTGGGATTACAAGTATTCACCACCATGCCCAGCCTCGATGCACTCTTCTGTGGGGAGAGGGTCAGTACAGCACACACACACACACACACACACACACACACACACACACACCTCCAAGGGGGAAAAAACAAACAACTCTTGGGGATTGAACCTTTTGGGAAAGAAGGGATGCAGTTTACCCACCTGTTCTGTGATTCCTTCTCACTGTTATCCTAGCAACCACTCCATCCTCATGACTGGGGGTGAAGTAGAGGTGGAGGCTATAACACAGGAGATGGTGCAAGGCAGGGACAAGGCAGGACAGGGACTACCACTCACTGAAAGTCTTCATCTCTTTTGGCTGGTGCAAGCTGAGGCACTGAAAGTCATTTTTTCTAGGAAATGACACAAACTCCTCCCAAGGTTACCTTGGATTTTGTGCTTCTGGAAGGTAATAGCCAAATAGAAATAGGTGAAGAGTAATATGTATATTTCAGGGGTCATCTGAGTCAGGTGGGCACACTCCCCAATTCTCTTCCTCATCTTTCAGATCTCAGCAGACTCACCTCTCTGCACAATTCAGACTGGCACTCCATAAATGCATTCAATAAATGTCTGTGCCAAGTGAAAATAACTTGCTGGGGAAAGCAGGAGTCAATCTTGTATGTTTCCCTCCCTTTTTTCCTCCCTATGCAACCTTTAGGTCTCTGGTTTCCTGCAAGTAGTGAATTATTTACATCTGCTCATAGCTATCAAATTGGTCCTCTCCAGGTTGCCAGCAGGGTGGGGCAGGGAGGCGACTGTAAGTAGGAGGAGCAATCACCTTGTTCAAACAACACATACAGGTGAGTCCCTGCTTTTGCTAAGTCATCCTGAGAACGCAAAGGCCCATTGTGAGATCTTCTGTCCTTCCTAGTTCCTCCTTCCTCCCCACTCCCTTGAGAGACCCGTAAGTGGGTGCACAGCACTCTGCAAGACTCACTCTGCGCTTCACCATGGCCTACATCGCCAAGTCTTTCTATGACCTTAGTGCCATCAGCCTGGATGGCGAGAAGGTGGATTTCAACACCTTCCGAGGAAGGGCAGTGCTCATTGAGAATGTGGCCTCTCTCTGAGGCACTACCACCCGGGACTTCACCCAACTCAACGACCTGCAATGCCGCTTTCCCAGGCGCCTGGTGGTTCTTGGTTTCCCTTGCAACCAATTTGGACATCAGGTGAGGTGTCCCTTGTGTTGTGCCCAAGGAACTGGGTTGATGAAGCTTGAGTAGGATAAGGGAAGGGGGTGAATGACTTTGCGTGTTTGAGTGTCAAGAATTGTGGGCATGTTCTTCAACCCAGGTCTTTGGGAGCATGTGAATACCCAGGGGCAGTAGACATGCTCTGAGACTAAACACTGGGGTGGGTGTTTATTATTTACTGTCTTCCCACTGTCGTCCATGAAGGCTGGTTCCAGGTCTATTTTTCTCTCCACTGTGTCCTCACTGCCTAGGGTACTGAAGGTACTCATTAAATATTTGTTGAATGAATGAATGGAGGAACCAGAAGGTCAAGAATCAAACTAGAATTGGACTCACTCAAGTTCTGCTCTTTAATGGCTCTGTGTCCTTGGAAGAGACACTTGATTTTTGTTTTAGTTTCCTCATGTGGTGGAGATAATACCACTTAGCTCACAGGATTATTGTAAGATTCATGGGGTGAGATATAAAAAGGTAACTAGAAAAATATAAAGCATTATGCAAATGTAAGCAATTTATTACTTGGATTGAAGATTGTTTAAATCAGTCAGTGGAAAGTGAATATGACGAAAGGGAAAGATTTGTAACTTGCATGTGTGTCCCCTCTGGGCACCACACACACCTGTCTCTGAATAACAGGTCGAGTTGTAATGAATCTTCAGCCTGCACACCTTAAGTTATCTCTTAGGGATTCTTCTATTTCTACTTGTGATTTTAATTGTATAAGCAGGCAGAATGTCCTCAAGCAAACACTCTAATTATAATCCCCTAAGTTCGATTCGCAATGGCATAAAAAGGCCATGTAGAATTAACCAAGATGTAAGCAGGAAGGCTGAAGGATCACTGACTGACAAACCAGAGTCCAACCATTACTGCTCTCACTGTTCCTTCCCTCCCAGTTCACTTTCCAGCCTTTACCAGGCAGGAGAGACAGAATGGGTACAACCTCCTGCCCTAGAGGTACCCCAGGCTTACCCTGTTACTTCCGCCTAGCTAGTCACCAGAGGGACCACAACCTAGAAGCCAGCCAGCCATTTGCATTAAGAGATTAGAAATCTAATAGAGTCAGCAGGCTCCTGAATGCTATGATGGCTGGGAACTGACTGCACTTGCAGGAACTGGTAGATCAGAGGTGGGGACTTTTTCCCAGAGGGAGACATCTGACTCTCAGACTGGGGAGGAAGGGGTGGAAAATAAGGGATCTCACCAGCCTTTTTGAGTTGTCCGGGTGAGAAAAGCTGATTGGGAACAGGACTGGGGTGGCAGCGGGAAGGGAAAGATAGGTAACAGTTTCTGAGCTAAAGCCTTCGTAGCCGAGAACAGTGAGCCTACAAGTGAAAAAGTTATTACATATTCACAATCTTTAACTCAAGCATTGTTTCCTTTACTGCCCACCCTCCACACACTTATCCTAGATCCCTCAACCCTCTATCCTATTTGAGTCATTCCTGATGGTCACTAAGTAGTTCCATTTAGACTACATTCATTGCGGTCTCTAACTTGCTTTGCCTTTATGGCATCTGAAAACTACATTTTCTTGGTTGGGGTCTTTCTTCCCCAAAGTGTTGTCCTATTTGCACTTCAGTTCTAGGACAAGGCAGGAGGAAAGCTAGACGCTCTAAGTCCCAGTCCCCTGGGCCTCACTTTCGCTTTACTTTGAGGAGCTGAGCAGAGCAGAGGCAAAGGCTGTACTCAATGTGTAATCAGAAACAAGGGAGGCACAACCAGGGCAGAAGAAAGGGAGAGTGGGGGTAGGGAGTGCGGAGCATGTGTGTGCATGTGTAGACAGGAAGGCAGGGAGGTAAGTAGACCGACAGGTTCTGGGCAGTATGACCTGAGCCTCCCTTTCTTTTCTTTGTCTGCCTGGAACTCAAGGTCATTTGAAGCTTTAAAAAACACTGCTCAGGATCATTGGAGTCAGAAGAAATGATTCAAACATACTAAATTTTTAAGTATAAGAACAGCCAAGCTAGGAACACCAAGAACTTTCAGAAATGGCCTAGCACACCATCAACAATAGCTAGGAGAGGGGAAAAAAAACCGAGCCTAGAGAAGGGCAGAGCAAATGAAGGACACCCATCTAGGGAAAAAGGATCCTGGGAAGGGAGTGTAGGAGGGTGAAAGATTCGCATGCTGTGGAACCTTCATTTCCTGACCCTTTTCCACGCTCTGTCTTCTTCCTCCCCTTCCTCCCCCAGGAGAACTGTCAGAATGAGGAGATCCTGAACAGTCTCAAGTATGTCCGCCCAGGGGGTGGATACCAGCCCACCTTTACTCTTCTCCAAAAGTGTGAGGTGAATGGGCAGAACGAGCATCCCGTCTTCGCCTACCTGAAGGACAAGCTGCCCTACCCGCATGATGACCCTTTTTCCCTCATGACCGATCCCAAGTTCATCATTTGGAGTCCAGTGCGTCGCTCAGATGTGTCCTGGAACTTTGAGAAGTTCCTCATAGGGCCGGAGGGGGAGCCCTTCCGACGCTACAGCCGGACCTTCCCCACCATCAACATCGAGCCGGACATCAAGCGCCTCCTCAAAGTTGCCATATAGACGGGAGCTGCTCCGCACACGATCTCCTGCTCTGTCCAGTCCCTGAGTATTCTTCCCCAGGATGCAGTGTCCCCTTGGGAGCCACTGCTGGACCGAAGCCTTCCCTCCATGACACCCCTTCATTGAAGAGCCCTGCCTCTCCCATCTGCCTCTTTCCTTTTCCTCTCTCAACCCTCTGGAGACCAACTTGGGGCTCTAAGACTGGGCAGGCTTTGGGCCTTCACAGAATGATGGCACCTTCCTAAATCCTTATGGGTGGTGTCTGAGAAGTGTGAAGGGCCCAGGGCCAGCCTGCGGAATGAGACCAATAAAGGGCTGATGTAGAAATGGCCAGGCTCTTTGTGTCTTCTTCCTAGACAGAGGGCAGAGGGTGGTACAAACTGCAGGTGGGACAGGGGCACTGGCAGCACACAAAGGTGTGGTGGAGGGAGGCTTCGATCAAGGGGATACCCTGATTACTGTCTGGACAGCAGGCTCTGGTCATGGTCTGCAGTGGCAGAAAATGTGAATTGTGTTATTTTATGGTTCTTCAAAACTGGGGGTGGGGAAGAAGAAGTAGTAAAGAAGAGTTAACAACAGTGGGCCCTTTGGCTGAGCATGCTGGGAGGTCGTTGGAAGATTATTATCAGGAAGACTTCATATCACTGTGAGTACTGAGACAACTAGATATTACCTGTACCTAGACATTTCTGGAAGGCAGTTTGGTCAACGTTTACTGATGGCAAGAGTAYAGAGGGTGCAGTTACTGGAAACACAAAGAGCACTTTATCTTTTCCCCCGATTAACTTATTGGATGTTTTCAATCTTTAACTAGAATGATCCTCCATCCCTTTAAAATTCATATTTACCCTACTCTTCTCAAATTCATATATTCACAAATTCAGGTACCAGATAAACAATCAGAGGCATGAATGATTGGATTCACTTCTTCCTCCATGAGGGTGGGGACATGAGAGGGAAGGCCTCCCTGAAAAGAGACATTTTACAATCTGCCAAAACATGATTGGTGCCCTATGTGCTGAGTGGCTTAGCAGGGAGGGTGTCCCAGAGTCCTTCTATAGTGCAGGCATATTCAGAAAGGACCAACACCACAAAGACCAGGTTCTATCATGTTCTGGAGATGATACCTGCTGAGAGGCCACTGTCCCATCACTATGCCTAATAAACCTCATCCTGGAACCTTCTCATTTCAACTTTTCCTTCTTTGACCACTAGATGGAACATTTTACTTCTCTTCACTGAAGCTCTGAAGGGTCAGTTCTCAAACTAGACACACTGCTTGAGAATCCCAATGTTGAATGGGGAAGTATTTTTCCTTGAATCTGTACCCTATAACCATTTTTTTCATGCACTGGCATTATCTGAGAAGAAAAAGTGGAATAGAGGCTAAGAATCCACACTGTCCAACCTTCAATGAGAGCTGTCATCAATGGTGCTATATTTCAAAAAGGTAACCTGAGCATTACAGTGGGAATCCCCTGGCATCCTTCTGCACGGCCTTCTGCTAAATTAAGACTGACCTTAACTTGACTCTTCTAAAAACTTGAACCTTTCAGATTCTTTCTCTTAAAGTTAACTGCTGGGAAGAGGGGCGGGCAAGACACTGATTTTAGAGCAGAGATAAGTTGCTTCTCTGGTAACAGTGGGAATTCATATTGGATGCTGGTATGATTTGTGCATCATCTTGATAGTGCTACAGCTTGTTACATCCCCAAACAGCCAGCTCTCCCAGATATTGTTGTTATGCCACAGGCATTTTAGGGCCTGATATGCCACAGGCATTTTAGGGCCTGATATGCCACTGTGGGGTGTTGGGTTGTTCCCATGAGGCTCTAGTTTAAAGAATTATTTAGGGATTCCCAAAGGAATGGGAAGCTGGGTGTCTGTAATTTTGCAGAGTGTCAAAGGGACCATAATGCTAGAAAGAAGGCTCCTCACGTGGGCAGGGGAAATGCTGTGCTTCAGACAAGACCTGATCAGTTTGGCTCCAGAGGAAACAGGAGAGGAGAATGGGAGGAGACTGATTTACAAGGCCTTCAGCTTTACTAAAGTTTTCCTTGTGATAAAACACAAAAAGGGTTCCTTTCTTTTATTCCTCATCTCATTTGCCACCCTTTCATCCTCAGAAGCAGCAGCCTGGAAATGGTCATGAGGCAAAGCTTTAATGTAATCACCCACTTTCCTGGATAAACAAAATCTTTTAATCAAATTTCCCTGGGGGTGTTCAGAAGTAGAGAGAAGTCTCATTAGCAGGCTCTGCCAGAAGTGGGGAGGTAATGCTGCTCAATTTAGAGAAATGACAGAGAATTGCTTCTCTAAGGGCTCTTACAAAAAAAATATATATAGCTAGGAAGAAGTGATTTTAGGGGGCAAAGGTTTAGAGACTGAAATTGCTGGCTGTTTTCATGACTGTGTTCGCACAGTTATGTCTTCTTAGTTTAAGAAATACTGAGCCAAACTCTAGAACTTTATTATAATCACCATCACAACCATCATCCAAAATACCACTTATTGAATATTAACTATGTTCACACACTGTCCCATATATCAGATTATTTAATCCTCATACAGATCCCATGAGGAATTTTTATTTCTATTAAAAGAGAAAGTGTTTGGGCAAGAGACCTGCCAGAGACAAAAGGTTAATAAAGAGCAGAGCCAAAAGTTAAAGCCAGATCAGTCTAACTCTAAAACATCTATTCTTAACTCCAATTGAGCTTCTAGCTTAGATTTTCCTTCATAAAGGCCACCGAGAGCTGCCTGACCCCAACACTACACAACATCAAAATGTTTCCATTTACATTATATCATTTGATTTGATTAAAACTCTGTGAAGGAGGTTTAATTGTTTCCATTCTTCTACTGAAGAAAGTGAGGTACAGACAGGATAACTGGTACAATGTCTCTCCATTAACAAGTGGTAAAGCCTATTCTGGACTGAGTTCTCTTGATTTCTTTTCTAACCAACCATCTCATAATGGAGACTTGTACTACAGCAAGAAACATACATTTTAGAATTGAGAACTTCAAATTCAGACAAGAAACTAACCTTGCTCACAAAATGAGAGAATGAAACTGAAAGGATTTCTGATATACTGAAATAAAGAAATGTGAACATACACCTCTTCATGATAAATTACAAGTAACAGAATATACCTGATTGTACCCAAGCTAGGTCATATATCAATTAATCAGTACTGGAAGGCTCTGTCTACTGGGAGATACCAAGAACATTTGAGAAAGACAGAGCTAGCTAATACAACAACAAAAAATAGAAGCTGAGCTTTTAATTTCAACAATCTTACTAGCAAGAAGCCAGATCTATACATGATGAAGCAAGTACAAAAAGAATGAGGACCAGCCCAGGTTTCCAACGACATGTACAGGTGATTTCTTTTCCTTCTTAAATCTCAGGAAGGAGAGCAAAGAAGACTAATGCTTTTGTCTGGTTTCTTTATTTGAACAGAAAAACAAAGATTCAGTGCAACTGGATTCAAGAGGTCTTTATTCCATTTGACCCACGAAAGGGTCTGAAAGATGATAAAGACAGTGTCACAAACACATCATCACACTGATTGAATAATAATAATCAAATACATGGATAGGGTCTTATGTTTTTAACTTTTGTAATGCATAGTTCAAAACAGATATTCTGCTATAGACAAGGATACCAGCAAGGGCATATAAGATCACACTCCTGAGCTTCGAATGACAAAGTTGGAAGCATTAGCAAATTCCAAGACAGGACAATTCTGGAATATAGAGGATATAATGGGCCTAGGGCTTCTATTTAAAGTAATGAAGCATTTTCTCTGCTTTTTGGATTCATTTCACTGAACGATTTCCTCAGCAGGTCAGATATAGATTTGCAGCAAAATGGAAAAGATTTTCCAGGAATAAAACAACTGATCCCTAAGGAGCAGCTGACTTAACTTTTCTGAGTAATAAATCTTTATCTGACATGCCAAGATTCCTTGGAGTGCTGTCACTGATATTCTTAACCTCTTCCTAACCTTGACAGACCCTTGTACCTTCATATTTACCAAACACCACTGCTGGAAAGCAGTCACTGTGGTAGCTGTATGACCTTGAGCAAGTTACTTTACTTCTTTGTGTCTTAGTTTTTTCCTTGCTCTAAAGTTGGAATAAGGATGGTACTTATCTTATGATGGTGTTAATGAGGATTAGATAAGTGCTTTAAATGGTCTGTTGGCACAGAGGAAGTACTCAATAAACCTCAGCTATTATTATTACCATGCTGTTACATAATAAAGCTTTTCCCTGGTATCAACAATGAACAATTGGCTAATTTTTTTCCTTATAAGCAAACCTTTAGCTCAGAATTTTCTAATCTCTTATATGTAAAGAGGAAACAGTATCTAAAGCTGGACCCCTGAAGTTCTGGTTTCAGAATGAGAAGAACTAACTGAAGCCACCACATTGTACTTTGTACTTTATATGCTTTCCAAAGTATTTTACATTAATTCATTGGGATCTCCTAACAATGCAAAATGAGTATATCACATTTTATTAACCCAATGTTATAGGAATGGGACAATGAAATCCCAAGCAATGCTATGTTTAATGATTATATTGATATCAAATAGCAGAGAGACCTAAATGCTCAAGTTTATGACTTCCATAATTGCTCTTTCAACTAGCAAAATAAGACATTCTAAGATCCCTTTGGAGTGACTGAAACCATGCTATTCAGAGTTTCCCTGTTTCAACCAAATGTCCTTTTTTTCTGGTGCAGGATACCCTTTAGGATACCACACTACATTTAATTGTCATGTCTTATTAGGCCCTTCTTGTCTGTGACTGTTTATCAGACTTTTGTTATTTTTTAAGAACTTGACAGTTTCAAGGAGCACTGGTCAAGTACTTTGCATAATGTCCTTCAATTGGGATTTGTGTGATGTTTTTCTCATGATTTTAGACTGGAGTAATGGCTTTTTGGAAGGAATACTACAGAGGTAAAGCACCATTCTCATCCTATCACATCAAGAGTACATGCTATCGGGGCTGAGGCTGTGGCTCAGTGGTAGAGCGCTTGCCTAGCATGTGTGAGGCATTGGGTTTGATCCTCAGCACCACATATAAATAAATGAATAAAATAAAGGTCCATACATATAAAAATATTTTAAAAAAAGAGTACATGCTATCAACATGGCTCATCACTGATGATGTTAACCTTGATAACCTGGCTGAGCTAATGTTTATCAGGTTTCTCCACTGTAAAGCTATTCCCCAGTTCCATATTTCTTGGAAGGAAGTCACTATGAACAGCCTATGCTTCAGGTGGGGAGTATCTACAGAAATTATTTGGAATTTTTCTGTACAGAAGATGTGTCTATTCTCTCCCATTTCTTTATTCATTCCCTCATTCAACCATTTATTTACCAGTAATGAAGGACTCACAGTTATTTATTATGTAGTTTGGGTTATAATCCAATATAATTTTATTTTGCTGCTCAAATTGTTCCAGCTTTGGTCACTGGAAGCTTCTCCATTTGACTTCTTTGATAAAACCCTAATAATTTTGACATTTTTAAAATTAGCACTTAATTTTTTTTTGTGACACAAGATGCTCCAGGCTCATTTCCAGATATTTATTTCCTGCTCTAGTCCACCAGACATTTTTCCAAGAAGTCCTGGTTCCTTTTAGGAGAAACCAAGATCTGGGCACTAGGTGTGCACTCATTCTAATTATTTTTCTGGTCAAATAACTGCAACAAAGATATTTCACTTCGGCTACACTGATGTGAACTAGAAACTTCAACAGAAGAACTCAACTCTAGGTACAATAATTTTCCAAATTACTTTTATTTCAAAGAATATTTAGGTCTTAGCATGAAAGAAAATATGCAGAGAACTTTTTATTATTAAACAAACTATCAGTTTAACACAGTTACAACAGAACTGTAGAAGGAGTCTTAGAATAACAGAGTCATTTGTCGGGGGTCATCAGGGAGAATACTGATAGTATCTTCAGCTTTGCCACATAACAGACACAGCATGGTGTATTCCTAGAACAAGACAAAGTGCATAATTACCTTGAGGGACAGGGAGGAAGGTGCTTCATAACTGATTCTGTTCAGTAAAGCTCTTCTCTACAAATTATCATGGATATTTTTCTGTACATTTGATCAGTTTCTTCAATACCTATTAGCAATGTCTTATGTTAATTCTACATCTGCCCAGAGCCTTTTGTTTATATAAAGTAAATACATGATAATGTTCTTATTTGGATCCCTAGGTATATGTTCTGTTCTCAGAGCTGTTCTCTTCTAGGATATTTAACATTGATAAGTGACAGGAGACAGTGGGAAAGGAGAAAATTCCCAAACTAAAACAAGTTTTTTAATCTACTCTAGGAAAATTGTGTTAAATTCACTAGTATGTTGTGTCTCATACATTAATACCTAACTGCCTAGAATTTCATTTATTTAAGGAGTTTCATGTTTCTCAGACTTCATAAATATCCAGATGTGATAGCAGTGAGTTTAAGAAAAGTCATTAGGCAAAGTCTTATTTTCCTAGCTGGCTCTTTCTAGAATATTTAATAAAGGCATAAACAATAGAGACATATTTCTTTTAAACTTTTTGCTTAAAAAGCTTTTTTATCTCCTTTGGGAAAACAAACATTGATCTATATAAAATCTATTAGTATTTCTACAGTTGATGTTGAGGCTGCTGGATGTGTGGAAATTGGAGAGAAAGGCAGTATATTTCCTGAGCCTGGACAGTCATTAGAGAGGGTCACAGAAGTAAACACTGGCGATGGCACAAAGCCCCAGAAGCAGGCAACTGCCTTTCCATTTCCTACTGTGAGTTCAAAGAAGGGGCTTAGTTGTGGCTCTAGAAAGACTGCTTCTTAAAGACCACACAATTTTTTCTATCGATTGATCGATCGATCGTGCTAGGGATTGAATAGGGTCTTGCACACATCTAGCGCTCACACTTAATTTTAAATTCTACTCTATACTCAAGAGTAGAAATACATGGAGGCTAGAGCTCAGAGAATAAATATAAGTCTCATGAATTAAAAATAAAATAAAAATCTATCCTCTCCAAGGACTTTTATTGCTTTCAAATACACCTACTGCYGTAACCCATCAGACATTACTAGCAGGATGGCAACCTCAAGAAAAAAGCAACAGACGCAAAAAAGAAAAACATGTGAAGCTAGACAAGTATCTGAATTTTCAACTAGTATTTCCTTTGTCAAGTTTCTCCTCAGTGCCTATGTACTGTGCAATATGCTAGGTGCACTGGCAGATAAGAAAGAAGGCAAGGACAAAGTGTAACCTTAAAAAACTTAAAATCTAACTTGGAAGAAAAAAAACACATTATATCATCTGGCAAGATTATTAAATCAGTGAGACCAATTATACCTATAATCTTTACTGAATAGGYGGTCTGTAATCCAAACTTCATTGTTAAGTCAGTTGTCTGGAATTCAAAAGCAGTTTCCCAAAAAAGTGATGTTATGTACTTGACAGGTTCCCAGGAAAATCTGAAAGTCTTAAATTTATATTGTACAAGTGCTATAGAATCTAACCATCTACAGTAGTGCTTCTGTGGGAAAGTATATCTAGAATTTTAACTTGGGAAGCCAGGAACACAGTTCCCTGTGCTTCCAGGAATATGGTGGGATTAGGACATCTTTTACCAAAACTGGCCAAGTAGGAAGAATAATACTTGCCCTCCCCACCATGCCCCACTGCCCAGGTCATTCATGGGAACCCTCAAGGGTTCCGTCTGGGCAGGGCCTAGGGTTAGAGGAAGAATGGGTTGGATCGCCTTGGGGTGAGATGAGATCTTTTATTTTATTGTTATCTTTTGTTTATTTGAGGGTCTCTTGGTGCCTATTTTTCTCTGTTAATTCTGACTCCATGTCCTCTCCCCTGGCCCACTGAGGAACAGAAAACAATCTAACAGGAGTTCCTCTTCTATTCCTTGAGGTAAACACATAGTTCATTTAAGAGCTTTTTGCCAAGGGATTTTGAAAAACAACCTGTAAACCATTTATAATGTATTTTCTGTTTGAACTCTATAAATCTGTCTCCACCTTACCCACTAGTTTGGCCATCAGGAAAATCTTACCTTGTTCAGTAATTGCATTAAGGTTATTTAAAAAACATAATTCTTTTTTTTTTTTTCATGGCACTGGGGATTGGATCCAGGGCCTTCTGCATGCTAGGCAAGCACTATCACTAAGCTATATGCCCAGGCTTTTAAAAAATTATATTAAATTGTATTCTGAGACAGGGTTTTACTAAGTTGTCCAGGCTGCCTTGAACTTGGAATTCTCCTTCCTCAACTTCCCAAGTAGCTGGGATTACAAGTATGTGCTACCAAGTGTGACAAAAATAGAATTCTTATCTTTTAGAGATCTTTTAGAAGTATTTACAGAGGTAGCAGTATATTTGGGATTTACTTCAAAATAGTCTTGTGGAGAGATGAGCTAAGAGTGAATTTAAGCAAAGCAATTTGAAGCTGGGCAGTGGAGCTGCTTACTTTTTATTGTTTAAATTTCCCATAAGACATTAGAATAGCTGGGCATGGTGGCGAATGCCTGTAATCCCAGTGGCTTGGGAGGCTGAGGTAGGAGACCCTGAGTTCAAAGCCAGCCACAGCAACTTAGCAAGGCCCTAAGCAACTCAGTGAGACCCCATCTCTAAATAAAATACAAAACAGGGCTGGGTATATGGCTCAGTGGTTGAGTACCCCTGAGTTCGATCTCTGGTATCCCCTACCACACCCACCCACCAAAAGGCGTTGGAATAAAATAAAAGGGTGGGGATGAGGATAAGAAGTCATGGTAGCTGAGAAAAAAGAGTTCCTGTGATGATCAGGATGATACAAAAGTTCCAAAGAGGCTATTTACTTGATTAAAAGCCTGATGCAAGTACAAGGAAAGTTCAGAAAAGGGAGAAAGGACCACAGACTGTACCATCAAGAGCAAGAAAGAGAATTTAACTTCCAATAGAAAGAGATACGATTTAATTGGCCTGAAGACAGAAAAGGAACAATTCAAATCAAGGAAAATGCATGAATAAATGTGACATGAAAATAGCAAGCAGGTGACATACGTAGTAAGAGGGAAAACAACTGTACTTAGAGGTTAAACGGGAGTGCGGAATAAGATGTTTAAGAAAGATTAATTCCATTGCAGTATATAAAACTACAGTTTGGGGGCTGCTGCAGTAGTTTAGGTTTGAGTGGGTATGGTTGTTGACATGGAAGATAGAAGTTAAGTAGTTTAGTCAGAAACAAAAGATAAAAGGAGGGCAGGTAGGGTGTTAGGCTTGGAGAAAGAGATTTGGAAGATCTAAGATTGAGTGCATGTGTGCTCACTATAGGAGGAAGTATAGTGAAAGTTCCTGACCAGAGACCAAAGCTCAGGGGTATCATGGAAAAATAGGAAAGGAAATGAGAAAAAAGCAAAGGAGGGCTGGGAGTGTAGCTCATTGGTAGAGCATCTGCCTCTCACGTGTGAGGCACTACGTTCAATCCTCAGCACCATATAAAAATAAATATTGTGTCCAACTACAACTAAAAAAAATTTAAAAAAAAGCAAAGGAGCAGTTAAAGTGATTTAATAAAAGAGAAGAAAAAGTCAAGTGCTATTGACCCCAAGAGAAGAAATACTGCAAAAAGATAACAGTGGTTAACAAAATCAGATCCAGAGAGATGTTAAGAGAATTAGGAACAGAGGTAAAAATCATTAATCATTGGTTAGACTATAGGAAACCTAGGGGACAGTAGTTTAAATCAAACAAAAATGAAAATCAGTTTGTAGATATTTAAGAGGAATATAGGGAAATAAGGAGAATGGTAAGTCTTTATATAGACCTACTCAAGTAAAGAAGCAAAGAAAGGAAAGAAATGATTACAGGATGAATCACAGAGGTAGTGAAGTAAAATAAAAGAATTTAAGTTTATTTTTAACAAATAAAAAAGAACTAAATATGTTTAATGTAAAAAAAATTTTAAATCCCATGGAGTTGGGGGGAAGAGGATGCTAGAAAGAGTCAACGTGATTGATGAGGAAATGACATGGGTATCATTAGAGAGGAGAGAATAAAAATCTCCCTCTCTGATAGAAGAGAGGGAAGAGTCTAAAGTTGGGACACTGCTACACATGTTGTAGGTAAGGAAGAGTCATGGGAAATAAGAGAAAAGGAAGCTGGGTCAGCCCAGGGAGAATCCTGAAATGAGAAGCTTGGATATTATACCACAGCTAAAGTTGAGCCATGGGAAAACAAAAATCCTCTGATGGTAGAGTACAGAATATGGGCTGGGGGAAGTAGCTGTTGGGTGAGGAGACTGGAGATAGAGTCTGTTTTAAAAGAGTTCTTCTGAGAGCACTTCACACTGTCTAGGCATTGTGACTACCAGCTATCTTCCTTTACCTTTTTCTGGGACAGCTTTGTAGATTGATGCATTCAGTCATAAAGGAAAACCAGTATAGAATAAAATATTTTATTTGTATGTGGTGCTGAGGATTGAATCCAGTGCCTCTCGCATGCTAGGTGAGGGCTCTACCTCTTGAGCCACAACCCCAGCCCATGACATTGATTTAAATGGCTCTGTTGGGACATAAACAGACAATCTCAATATCCATTCGGGGGCTCTAAAAAGCTCATAGGAGCTTTTGGGAAATAGCTTGAAGCACCCTCCTTTCCTCTATAAAGCTGTATCTTTAAGCCCATGATATGTTTATTCCCTTATTTGGCTACCACTATTTCAGTGAGATCTTGATTTTGCCCTAAGTCACACATTCTTATAAATATTTTAAGGCATAATTTTTGGAGGTTGAAGAGTTAGTCAAGATGTTATTTAGATTAACTGCACATATCAGACTATGACAGGTGATTAAGTACTTTCCTCCATGTTAAAATAAGAGTGAATGAGAGGGGTTATACTGTTTTTTGATTCTGTTATGGGAGTTTTTTTTTTTTTTTTAATTAAAGTACTACTCAAATTTAAAGGATTTTTTWAAAAAAATTCCCCTGACAACTAAAAGTTCTGAACTTTATATCCTAGGGATAAACATGTAGTTCATACAAAATAAGTAACTCAACCTGAAGGCTTAAAAGTAGAGGCAGTGAGGAACAATCAAAGGTTCTAGTTTGTCCTAGGTCTCCCAGATTCAGCTTTTCTTCCTCATCATCAGACCTATGAATAGCCCTGCACTATTGGCCATAAACTCTACAGACTTCCTCACATGCTCTCACAATTGCATGAACACAGTCCTTATAATAAATCCCTAATTCTCTACTGGTTCAACTTTTCTCCTTCCACCTTGATATACCAATTTTATAATTTTATTTGACAAATGATATTACAATTTCTTACCAAGACTAAGACTACAGCATTGCTCAACTGTATATAACAACTAGGGAAAACAAAAATAACCCCTATTTAATTTCTTCTCCAATTTTTAATCCCTTGAAAAATCACTTACTTTTCTTTGAGATCAACATGAATTAAAGTATTTTTATATTTAAAAAAAATAATATCCTTACTGGAATTTCCATGCCCAGAAATTATAGTTAGGTGGACTGGCCAACATTTAAAGTCAACAGTTGTGCCATCACAGAGTGGCAAAGAAAAAGGAACCACAATAGTAAATTCATAAGAAGTCATAATGGACTACTCATTTTTTTAAATTGATTTTTAAAAAATATTTATTTTTTAGTTTTAGGTGCACACAATATCTTAATTTTATTTTTATGCAGTAATGAGGATCAAACCCAGTGCCTTATGCATGCTAGGCAAGCACTCTATCACTAAGCCTCAACCCCAGCCCCAATGGGCTACTCTTTATAAATAAAAATGACAGTATTGAGCTCTGATTTGTAAGGCACACATTTTGATTTGTGACTTTCATGAAAACAGGTTTGCACAGATCCATCCATATTTAAAGTTTCTCTCTCAACTTGCACAAGGAAAAGAGAAGGATGGTCTCTGAACAGTTGCTAGAACTTCATTTATAAAAAAGTATATCTAGATTATCAAAGTGATTTTTAATATCTGCCACTCCCCAAATAATATACCCTTAAATTTATACATTTACCTGAAATTCATCCATGATACTGAACGTATACTCATGTCTGGCAACTACATGATGACAGTTCTTACACAGATCTGCCAAAACAAAGAGAGACTTACGTAATTAAATTAAAATAGTAAAATTTCTATTCTTAGCATGATATCACTTAAGAAGAATCTTAACTCTTATCATATGCAACACAGCAGGAAACCCATTATTAGATTGACTTTATTGAGAAATCCAGAATCTGTCATGTAGCAACACCATATACCTGGGTCTAGACTTAGAGGTTTAATGTACACTTATTAATTCCCATTGAAAGCTGTCTAAGATAATCAATTAACAGATTACTTAAATGTGTTTTTTAAGCTAGCTGGGTCTATCTAACTAAGTAAAAGCTTTTAGTCTCAGAAATGACAGTAACGGTATTACTGTAACCAAACATAAATAAAAACCAATCTGGACACTGAGTGAATTTAATGGTAACCAAAGAATCTAATAAAAACAATGTATTAACAACTATGATTTATTGCATGCTTATCATATGCTAGATATTTTTTAAATCCCTTTACCTGTTTACTCACTACATCTTTTCAAAAAACAACTGATACTATCATTACCACCTTTTTAGAAACAAGGAAATAAAGGCACACTGTGGTTAAGACAACCACTTGCTCTTACTCCAATGTCCTATTGTACTCCCTGGAATAAAATAGCTTAAAGGGATATATGCTTAAGAAGAAAGAAAACCATTCCTCTTAGAACACTCTTCAAGTATTTGAGTCTATTCTGCAGGCCTGGTGTCTTTCATACCCTCTTTCAAAATTTCAATATTTGTGTAATTAGTCCTCATATATATTCAGAACATACTGAAGAACATGGAGACAAGCAAAAAGGTGGCTATAAATGGTTTAAATATCTGTCACCATATCTGGGCACCAGACATATACTAAATTCACTCATAGAAATTCTTAGCACCAACCTCAGAAATTATTTATTTTTATTAAACATAGTTTATTTGGTTTCCCAGCATCGAGGACAAGGAGTAACATAAGAAAGTAGCAAAGTTATAGAAGCAAAAGAAAAACAGACCAAAAAAGCTATTCAGGCAGAAGAGAGTCTGAAAGGACTGGRGTTGTGGCTCAGTGGTAGAGCACTTGCCTAGTATGCCTGAGGCACTGGGTTTGATCCCTGGCACCACATACAAATAAAACAAATAAAATAAAGGTATTGTGTCCATCTGCAACTAAAAAATTATTTTAAAAAAAGTCTGAAAAAACCATCGCATTTAGTATAGGGAGTGGAAAGCCCTATACATTTTAATAGCTGCTCCAAAGACATCAATAGATTACATTATAATAGTAGAAAGTGAAAATTCACATAGATGATCCTAAGGTTTATTTTTTTTAAGTCCCTGTATCTTGTTTAAGGTAATATAAAGCCTTTTAGAATGTCCCTGAAAAAAATAATTTAATACAAAAAATTGGAGCCAGAATCACAAGCTGCAGTTACCTGCAAAAGTCACTTATGTATCTGGGTATGTTGGTGCATGCCTGTGATTCCAGTGACTCAGGAGGCTGAGGCAGGAAGATGCCAGCCTGAGCAAATTAGTGAGACCCTGTCTGAAATAAAAAACAAAAGGGCTAAGGATGTAGGGAATGTAGCTCAGTGGTAGTGTCCCTGGATTCAACCCTCAATTAAAAAAAAAAAAAAAAGTCATTTATGTGAGCAGGGCAGGTTGGTGCAAGCCTGTAATCCCAGCAATTCAGGAGGCTGAAGCAGGAGGATCACAAGTTCAAGGCCAGACTCTGAAACTTATCACCATCCAGTATCAAAATAAAAAATAAAAGGGGCTGAGGATATAGCTTAGTGATATAGCATTCCTGAGTTCAAACCCCAGTACCTACCTACCCTCCAAAAAAATAATTCATGTAGAATATCTGATGATACTACATAAAGAGGTGTTAACTATATTTTCTTCTTAAAAACCTAGTTCATAACTGAGTGTTGCTAAATGACTGAAAGAGGCCTCAGAATAATTTACATAACATCAACTTCCAAAAGCTGATATCTGCTAACAGACTGGCATTAAAAAAAAGAAATCTCTCCTAATTACTCAGGAGGCTGAGGCAGGAGGATTCAAAGTGTGAAGCCAGCCTGAGCAATGTAGGGAGACCATGTCTCAAAATAAAGAATAAAAAGGACTGGGGATGTAGCTCAATGGTAGAGTACTTGCTTAGCATGCACAAGTCCCTATGTTTAATCCCCAATTCAGGAGGGAAAAAAAAAAGAAACCTCTACTTACGATCATAGGTAACTATTTCTTCTCCATCTTCCTCTTTAAGGGACTTGTTTGTGATCAGCATAAAATCCCTCTTACTGCATACTGCACAGCCTGTAAAATTCAGTAAGAAAGATCCATTCTCCAGACAGGTGTTACCCTAAAATATCAGAAATAGGAATTCAGTTTTCTTACATTTTGAGTTTTGTTTTTGTTTTTAAGTGTGTGTGGTTTTGTTTTTTTGAGGGATGAGGCCCAGGGGTACTTAACTATGTGCCCAGAACTTTTTATTTTTTATTTTGAGAGAGGGTCTTGCTAAATTGCTTAGGGCCTCCCTAAATTGCTGAAGCTGTCCTCCAACTTCCCATCTTCCTGCTTCAGCCTCCTCAGTCACTGGGATTACACGTGTGTCACCATGCTCAGGACTACAGTTTGAAATCTTTGATGAAAACAATTAATAGGCTTAAAATTTTCCAGAGACAAAAAAAAATATGGTCAGAATTTACTTGCTTTAAGGCTATAATAAGTAAGTTTTGAAATTACCAACTCTCCTAAATAATACTGATATATATATATATGTATATATAAATAAAATAAAATTGAAGCAATGCTGGTGTATAAGTCTCTGAGGGCTGCAGCTGTGTTTAATAGAGAACTAAGTCCTATGTGAATACACGACCAATTCCACATCATGTATAACCACAAGAGTGGGAAGTTATACTCCATGCATATATGTCAAAATACATTCTACTGTCATGTATAAATAAAAAGAACAAAATTTTAAAGAAGAAGAAAAGAGAACTAAGTACAAATAGACATAGAAACAATAAGGAAACCTTAATAATACAAAATATGTAAAGGAAAAATTAGAAAAATTTAAAAGCCTACTATTAAATGAGGCATATCATAAAACTAGAATTAAAAATTCAACTAAAATAGAAAGATTGAGCCCATGCTAAAGATGATCTCATATACTGTGATGTTAAATTGATTATTGACAGCCTTTTTCTTAAGCCTTAATAGAACCACAAAATAAACAAAAGTATCTAGATCTACAGATGTCAATCTTTTACGTATGATTCAGGCAGAGAAGGCAAGTTCTACAATTCATCAGATTAACATAACAGCATTCAAGAAAGAAAGAGTTTTGCTTCATCACTAAGAAATTATAAACAACTCATTTTCCCGATTTAAGGAAAATCTTTGCTAAAGGCTTATAAATAATTGTTAAGAATTAAGTCATTTTACAGATAATCTAGTCTAATTCCATGCAACAAATTTAGAGTATTTTAAAATAGTTAATGTGATTACAAAATCATTAGAATCAACATTTTCTCTAATGCTTTTATGTGGCTGATACCATGCAAAGCACCATGTAGGATGCAAGGATGAGCCAAAGAAGTTTCCAACTTCATGGAATTTAAGAAATACCAGGGAATTAAGACCCACCTTCAATGACACAATGAAGTCTTCCTGGATTCCCAGAAGTACAATTAATCTCTCCCTTCTGAGAGGTTTCTTAGTTCTATGTATTGAGGATGAGATTAGCTCTGGTGGAAGCAAATTTGCTGGGTGCTATGGCACACAATTATAATCCCAGAAAGTTGGGAGGCTAAGGCAAAAGGTACAGAAGTTTCACCAGCCTCAGCATTTAGTGACACCTTGTCTCAAAATAAAAAATAAAAAGGAGAGGGGATGCAGGTCAGTGGTAAAATATCCCCGGGGTAAATCCTCAGTAATAAATAAACAAATAAATAAATTTTACTGAGGTATAATTTAGACAAAAAATCTCACATATTTTAAGGGCACAGGTGAGTGACTTGTAACAAATGTGTATACCCACATAAGCACTATCCCTATCAAAATACAGAATATTTCTATCTCTTCAGGAAGTTCCTTCATGCTTTGCAGTTTATCTCCAACCCCTATCAGGCACCCAATAATCTGATTCTCTCTCTACAGTCTTGCATGTTCCAGAATTTTACATAAAAAGAATTATTATACTCTTTTGTATCCACTTTCTTTTGTTCAACATAATATCTATGTTATTCATCTATGTGGCTGAATATATTGGTAGTTCAATTCTTTCTATTGCCAAGTAGTATTCCATTGTATGGATTAATTCCTGTTGATGGACATTTGGGTTTTTTCACTTTGGGGCTAGTAAAAATAAAGCAACTATGAAGATTCATGTACAAGTCTTGTGTGTATATGTCTTCCTTTCTCTTGGGGAAAGAATCTAGAAATGGAATTGCTAAATTCTTTGCTAAAAATGGTATATTTAATTTTCAGAAACTGGCAAATTGTTTTCCAAAGTTTTTCACTTTATATTCTCATCAATGCACTGAGTTCCAGTTGTTCCATATATACACTGATACTAGGTTTGTCTTTTTTACTTTAGCCATTCTAGTGATGTAAAGCGGTAAAAACTCATTATCATTTAAACTTACATTTCCCTGATGACTAATGGTGGAGAACATATTTTTGTGATGCCTATTAAAATGTCTCTTTATGTGAAGTGTCTATTCAAGTCTTTTGCCCATTCTTTGTTGTTTATCTTCTTATACTGAGTAATAAAATTTCTTTATATATCTTGGATACAAGTCATTTGCTGAATACATTATGCCATATTCTCTCCTTGTCATTAATTTGCTTTCTTTTTTGTGTTTTTTGTTTTTGAGATGCTGGGGACTAAACTCAGGATCTCATACATGCTAGGCAAGTGCTCTATTACCGAGTCAATCCCCAGCCCTAGTTTGCTTTCTTTTTTTAATGATGTTCTTTGAAAAACAGTGTTGAGCTTTTAAAAGTCCAATTTACTTTTTTCTCTAATGATTTGTGCTTCTTGTCTCCTAAAACGTCTTTGCTTATCCCCAAGTTTGAACAGATTTTTCTCCTATGTTTTCTTCTAGAAGTTTTATAATTTAAGCTTGTAAGTTTAGGTTTATGACATATTTTGAAATAATTTGATATGAGGTAGTGATCAAAGTTATATGGATATCCAGTTGTTCCAGCCACATTTGTTCAAAGACTATCCTTTCATTGAATTACAATGGTGCCTTTGTAGAACAGTCAAATGACCACATACATAAGCGTCTACTTTGACTACTCTGTTCTCTTGACTTATTATCTAGCTTTTCATGAAACATTCTTTTGATTATAGCTTTACAATAAGAATCTAAATCAGACAGTTTATATACTATAATCTACCTATTACAGGTTCTTTCCATTTTCATAAAAAATTTTAGAATCAGTTTATAAATTTTTACAAAAAAAAAGCCTGCTGTAATTTGAATTGAGACTGCCTTGAATATATAAAAGATAACTGCTAAGGACTTCAATAAATTAAGGAAAGCAATATGGTCATAAAAAAATATAGAATTTTAAATACCAATTACAAATAAATGGAACTCTGAACTAGATTTCACACAGAAACACAGCTACCTTATACAGTGTGGCCTGAACTCTATAATGTGACCTTGTAAGTAGGTAGGCAGGATGTAAACTCTAAGGAAACACAGAAACACAGGGAAAAGAGAAAGATATTTGCATCTGTTATGTGGTAAGTAAATAAATATTTGAAATGACAAATTGCAAGTATGGTATGTAAGAAACTTATGGGGACTTTTAAGAGCCCTAGTCATTTAAAGAAATGAGGGTAAACTTCATTAGTAAGACAGCTCTTTCATTAGACTATTAATATTCAATTTGGGAAAGTAAACTAAAGTATAGGAAGCTTTTGAAGTTTCTATAATGACAGGGAAACAAAGATTGCAATCCAAATCAATTCCACAGTAAGAGTGAACTGTAACAGTTTCAAGAATAAGAGGAAAAAGTCAACATGTTAAGTGCCTTTAAAAAAAGTGATTCAGACTGGGTGTGGTGGCACACGCCTATAATCCCAGTGGCTCCAGAAGCTGAGACAGGAGGATCACAAGTTCAAAACCAGCCTTAGTAAAATGTGAGGCACAAAAATAGGGCTGGGGATATGGCTCAGTGGTGGAGTGCCCCTGAGTTCAATTCCTGGTACCTACCACCCCCCAAAAAAGAATGTGATTCAGATAAATCCTGGTTCAAGAGTTGTAAAGGTAAACAAGTATGCAAAAAGAAATGGCTGAAAACTATGATTATAATTGGTATGGCAGTACAGATGATAATCAATGTGACAATTACAAAATAAAGTCTCATAAACTTGTGAAATCAGCAATTATTTTGACAAGAACTGGACGAATTTGTTTTTTCTGGAAAAGTATTATTTCAGATGGTACATGTGAATGTAGCTATAAATAAATGTAAGTTAATATTTATGTAAGTTAATGTATATGCTTTGCAGGAAAATTTTTAAATTAAAAATGGAGGAACCCAGCAAAGTGGCACAAGCCTTTAAGCCCAGTTACTTAGGAGGCTGAGGCAAGAAGATCACAGGTTCAAAGGCCAGCCTCAGCAATTTAGACCCTGTCTCAAAATGAAAAATAAAAAAGCGCTGGGACATAGCCAGTGGAGTGCCCTTAGGTTCAATCCCCAGTACTGCAAACATACATATATACACACATGACAAGAAAATATCTGGCTGGTAAAGCACTTTCCTAGCATGTATGAGGTCCTGGGTTCAATACCCAGCAATGAAAAGGAAAAAAAAAAAAAAAAAAAAAAGAACATATTTTTCAAAGAACTAGCAGCTTTGGTTTGTGATTTCTTTATAGCTTTTCAATTTTGTATTTCATTAACTTCCAATCTTTATTTCCTTCCTTCTGCTTGATTTATATTTAGTTTGTTCTTGTTTTTCCTCTGTTATGAAAGTTTAGTAAAAGTTTAATTATTGATTCATGATTATTCTTTTTTAATACAGGCATTTAAACCCTCAAATTTTAAAAATGCAGAATATCATTTTAAAATACCTGCCCACACACAATTGTTTTAGTAATTACAGATTCAACTCAGCATTTAATTAAATTTGTCTAATTCTATGAACCAGGTAACCATTTGAGTACATAAACTTAGATGGGTTAGGTTTTTCTTTTTTTAACAGATACATTTTTTATACAACATTTTTATTTTATTTATTTATTTTTATGTGGTGCAGAGGATTGAACCCAGTGCCTTGCACATGCTAGGCAAGCGCTCTACCACTGAGCTACAACCCGAGCCTCTTGATGGGTTAGTTTTAAAACATATAATTTTAAATTTAAACATCACTAATGCACAATTGATTTTTTCCCTCTGATTAATATAAATTAATTATTTCTGCATTGCTGTTGAATTACTAAAATGTTTAAAGCTGAAACTTAAAATATGTGAAACAGGTTTTTGTTTCCAGTTTGATTTGAAAAATATTTTATTATGATTTTGGTCTGTATTATGAAAAACACAATACAGTTCTAGTTCCAAGTGGTTTGTTAAATACTTTTCTGATAGAAAACATTTTTTTTAATTCATAGTTGAGCAAAAATCCATTTGGGTTCAGAAAATTAGTATGGTTCATTTCCAACTAGATTCATGCTCGAGTTCAATTCTCAGTGTAACATTACAAGCAAGTAGGTCAGAGACCTGTTAGGATTTCATGTATTTCTAGTCTGTGAAAAACATCTAACACAAAACACTGGATAACTTTATGTAACAAAAAATAAATAATTAAATATTACTTACTTTCTGTGCACTTAGAGCTTCTGGAGAAGCTAATCTATTTTCTCTGCCAATCTTTTTTGAATTAGTGGACCATATTTGCTGCCAACATTTTATTACTCTTTCCTTCACTAAGCTTGAGCAAAGTGGTTTCTACTTTGTCCTTAAATTTCAAAAAATCCCAGAGTTGAAAGGGTCCCTGAGATGCTAAATTGTCAGTCAGGAAGACAACTCAATTCCTCTAAATGTTATTCATTCCCTTTTTGAACATCTGTTATAAAGTTCCTTATTCTGATTCAAAGTCCTCAAACTCATAACACCCACCCACTACTTATTTATAAATCTGTTTTCTGAAATTAAAAAAAAAAAAAAGAAAGTTTAGCTGAGCACTGTGGCACATGCCTGTAATCCCAGCAGCTCGAGAGGCTGAGACAGGAGGATCACGAGTTCAAAGCCGGCCTCAGCAAAAGCGAGGCACTAAGCAACTCAGTGAGACCCTGTCTCTGAATAAAATACAAAATAGGGCTGGGGATGTGGCTCAGTGGTTGAGTGCCCCTGAGTTCAATCCCCAGTACCAAAAAAAAAAAAAAAAAAAGTTTAATTCTTCCTTATGATAGCCCTTTAATTATTTTAGGAGAGAATAAAAGCAGAGAAAAAGTGCTTCAGAGCACTTTTCTTGAGACTTTAAAATTTCTATTTCCTAAATTAATTTATTCTCTGAAACTGAGTCTTTGATTCTCCACATTCTTTTCCTCAGAGAACAAATTCTTTCTATTTTGACACTTTGATTTGGCTGACTCATCTTTCTGAATCTTACAGACAGATACATCTTTGTTATTTGCAATGCTATATCTTTGACTCCTCAGATGTTAAGTTCTCAATCTCAACCATAACAACAATTTAACCATTTGCTCCCCAACTTGATTTTTCTTCCCATATACCTACAATTTCTGTAATGATACTTCCAACTTCCCAGTTGCCTAGACTAAAAATCCTGAGATCATCTACATCTCTTCCATTCTTCTCTCCAACACTGTATTGGTTGAGTCCTATTAATTCTTTCTTTGAAATCAGGCCTTCACTATCTCATGGCTATACTGTTGCCATGCTCTACAGAAGTCTCCTTTCCTACTCCCCTCACCCCATCATCCCAACATACAGTCAAGATTCATTTTCCTAATAAGAGATTTTAGATCATTTCCCTATTCACTATTACAGTGATGGTTGCCTATAGTAATGTCTTAATATGACTTAAATCTTTCAATTGGTTCCACTCTTAAGAATTCAACCTAATCTCTGTAATGCCCTCTGTTGAAAACTTTCCCAGCATGTTCTAATATGTAATGTTCTTTATTAGATTCATAAAAATCTTTCTAAATTAAAACAATGTATATAATAGAACACAATTCAGAAAAACATATGAAACAAAACATATATAAGTATAATAAATAATTACAAAGTGAACATCTCTATAATCACCACCCAAGTCAAGAAGTAAATACTGGGGCTGGGGATGTGGCTCAAGCGGTAGCGTGCTCGCCTGGCATGTGTGCGACCTGGCCCAGGTTCCATCTTTAGCACCACATACAAACAAAGATGTTGTGTCTGCCGAAAACTAAAAAATAAATATTAAAATTCTCTCTCTAAAAAAGAAAGAAAGAAAGAAAACTTCCAGGAAAAACTGAATAAGCACAGTTAAAAAAAAAAAAAAAAGAAAGAAAGAAAATACTGCTTTGTACCCCCAAAAACTTCCCCTCATGTGATCATTCTTCTTCTTTCTTTTTTTTTTTTTTTTTTTGTAGTTGTAGACAGACAGAATGTCTTTGTTTTATTTGTTTATTTTTATGTGGTGCTAAGGATCAAACTCAGTGCCTCTGCATGTGCCAGGCAAGTGCTCTGCCATTGAGCTACAGCCCCAGCCTCTTATGTGACCATTCTTGATCACACCCTAATCCTTTAGCAGTAATCAATATCAAGACTACTTTATGGTAATCATTTGCTTTCTTTTATTGTTTTACCACCCAGGAACRTTCTTAAATAATACATTTTATTTTTATTTTATTTTGAATTACACTGTGTTCTTTTATCAACACTGTATTTGTAATACTTAATTCCAGTTGTTGTGTGTAATTTTGGTGTATTTTTATTACTCTAATTCGGGGTTCCTCAACTGCATAAAATTTTGTGTTGTGGTGGCTATCCAGTGTATTGCAAGATGTTTACTGGTGTCTACCCATCAGATGTGAGGAGTGGTCTCCCCATTGTAACAACCAACAATGTATCTAGATATTGCTAATATCCCCTGGGAGAAAGTCATTCCTGGTAAATAACCACTGCTCTATATCATTCATTTCCATCACTCATTCTTTTATGATGTTCCATTCTACAAAGTTACTTTTCCAGTCTACTACAGATAATTGCCCTTCCAAACTTTCTTATACATATGTCCAAAAGAATTGGTACGTTTTTCCAGAATGAGAACCGCTGGGGTCATTTCAGTGGGCACAGCTTTACTGTAAAATGCTAAACCTTTTTTCCAAAGTGGTTGTACCATATGAGAACATACACTATAGAATCTTCTCAAAAGACTAAATAATGCTCATAACATATTAAGAGAAGGAAAAACACTATAGAGATTTTCTAACTCCCAACCCATGCAAGAATCCTTGCTCTTGTTATTTTCCCCCAGTCTCCAGCTCCTTGTTTCCTTCTTTTCTACCTAATCACAACTATGTTTTAAGTCGTGGCGACAGTCCACACTTTTGGCGGGGATGGGGGATAGCAGTGCTATCCCATACCCTATTACTCTCTCCTCTCTCTAAACTTCATTTTATACATGGTTTGTCCTTTCATTTCCGTTAACCACTTACTCCTCCACACTATAAATTCTTAAGCAGCACATCCTTTCATAGCCTCAAAGTGACCTATACACACGTGGATGTTCAATAAGTATGCCCTCAATTAACAAAGCTCTACAAGGTCTGAAACCACCTGGGCCTGAGAGAAACAGATTTAAAATAAAGTAACAAGCTGGTCATCCCAGCGATTCTCAGGAGGTTGAGGCAAGAGGATCACAAGTTCGAGGTCAGCCTCTGGAACTCTGGATCTGGGCTGGGGATGTAGCTCAGGGGTAGGGCACCTCGGGTTCAATATCCAATATATATGAATGAACGAACGAATGAAGGTAGCAACTGGGAAGCCTGAATTCTAGTTCTGGCTCTCATATTACCTAGAATGTGAATTTGGACAAATTATTCCTCCTCTCTGAGCATTAGTTTCATCATCTGCAAAACTGGGTTAGAAGGGATGACCAAGGAGGTCCCCTCTAGCGCTAGAGTTCGGTAAGAAAATCGAACTGCATCAAATGGAGCTTGAGGACAACCCGGGGTGGGGGGATGCTGCCTGCGTGGTGCTGGTGCTGAGGCTTCCTATGCGGTCCCCGGGCGCTCAAGAGAACGGGAATGACGGCTGAGGTCAGCCACCGGGGCGGGGACCGACGGTACGGACCGCCACACTCCGCCTTGCTGACCTAGGCCTAAATACAGCCACGGGGTCAACTGCAATCCACAGCGCAGCCAAGTCTGCCCAGCGCCTGGCGGGTCGGGAAGGCCGGCCGGAAGTATGAGCAGCCTCGGGGCTGGCCGCTTGGGGTAGGTTCTCGGCGAAMCCCTGCTCACCCGATTCGGATACTCTTTCTCCACACAGTCCCCACACATCGCGACGTCCTCCACCGCTTCCGGGAAGTCGAAACCTCGCGATAGCTGAGAGACGGTGGCCGCATGCGCCCCAGGTGTCCGACCCTGGGATATTTGGCCTCGCGAACAGATTCAAAGTCTCCGCCCCCTAGCAACTGTTGTTAAGACAGGGTGCACCAGGGTCTCCCGGGCTACACTGCGGGCCTGGGTGTCCGACGTCAGCAAACTTCTGAGAAAGGGGAAATGCCTCAGGACCCGCAGATGTGGCGGAAAGGGAAAGTGGGTCTTGGACTGAGCTCACTTTTAAATAGGCGTCTACAGAGCTTAGGCTGCCAGGAAGGCCAATCCCAACAGACAAGAGAATTGTTTTTCGCTGCTTCTGCCTACTCCGCATATAAAACGGAAATGGAAATACTTTATTCTGTACCGTTTCTTAGGGCAGAGAGAGTGATTAGAGATCAGATCTTGGTGGATGCTTAAACAATAGCTGAAGTATTTAAAAAGAGGCGTTTGGAGCTCTGCAGAGAATCTCCTAAAAAGAGCACTTAAAATGTTATTAAATGACCATCCCGGCGTCCTCTGTAGGACCTAAAAGTGGAAAACGTGTTTCTATCTCTTTCTATATCACAGAAGCACCTCAGTGGTGGGCAGGTACTGTGTGAACAGAAAGCCAGCATTATTTCCTGATCCTCCTTTGGATCTCCAAATGCTTATGACTGACACCTTGCCTCTTCCTTTCCCTCTGTATTGAAAGCATCTTATTCACAATGATATAATTAACCTGAATACAGATCTCTAAATTCTGTCTCTGTGCTTCTGATCTACCCATCTTCATCATACTCTGCTGCTCCAATGGAGACATTTAATGGGAACATCAACATCATGCCTTAACCCTGTAATATTGCTGTCAAATCAGTAAAGAAAGATTGGGGAGCATATGAGACTTTGGGATCTCTTTTCTTTAGAGAAGACCCTAATAACCATTTCAAAGCAAGCCAGTTTAACTGGGTTTTCTAATATGGTAATATGTCTCCACTGGAGCATTGAAATAACCTTTAGTATCTCAGTCTCTGGGAAAGATCTGCAATGGTTATTGAAAAAAATCACACCTATGATTTTCAGTACACTGTACAAACTAGTGATATCAGAGTTTATTCTTGGAATAATTATAATGCCTTCCATTTGTCTGACATTTTCAACAACCTTTCAAAGTGTTCTCATTTTCATTTCTAATTTTGTGCAAGTACAGCCCCATAAGATTGGTAAGAAAAGTATGTGTCCCCCCGCCCCTTGCCTTTCAGATAAGGAAATGAAGGAAATGGTTTAAGGTCTTGTCTTAGGTGACAGAATTATTCAGAAGTTAGCCAGGACTAGAACCCTTATTCCTATTCTTGGCTTCTTTCTAACACAGTAGCCACCAGCCCACATTAAATACTTTAAATGTGGCCATAAGTTGAGATGTGCCCGTATGTATGCTAAATTTGCCATGAAAAGTGAATGACAAATATCTTAGTAATTTTTACGTGATTACATGTTGAAATAATATTTTGATTGAGTCAAAGAACATGTATTATTAAAGTTAATTTCACCTTTTTTAAAAAGGTGGCTACTAGAAAATTCAGAATTACACATGTAGCTTTCATAATATTCTTATTGGATAGGGTCAGTCTGTACAATTCCCTTTCTTGGTCCATCTTTAAATTCTTTCTCTGTTTTAGCTGGGCGTTGTGGTACATACCTGCAATCTCAGTGACTCAGGAGCCTAACTAAGGCAGGAGGATTGCAAGCTCAAGGCCAGGCCCAGCAATTTAGCAAGACCTTCAGCAATTTAGCAAAACCCTATCTCAAAATAAAAATAAAAAAGAACTGGGGATGTAGCTCAGAGGTAAAGCACCCGTGTGTTCAATCACTAGTACAAAAAAAAATCTTTCTGTGGAGCTGTGGTTGTAGCTCAATTGTAGAGCACTTGCCTAACATGTGTGAGGCACTGGGTTCAATCCTCACCACCACATAAAATAATAATAAATAAATAAATAAAGTTCTTAAATCTTTCTCTGTTTTTAAAGTCTAATGACAATGTTTAGTTTTACTAGTCATCATATCTATTTTATTTAATTTTTTAGATATTTATGTAATATATTTGATGTGTGCAAGGTACTGTGTAGATGATGGGAAGATGAAAAAGATATTGTCATTTCTTTCTATCCAGATTCTTACAAAATGGCCTGAGAGATAATTGATCACAAATACCTATAATTAATTACACTCAGATTGCAGTGTAGGAGCACAAAATGTGGAGACTACTCCATGTGGGGGATTGGGAAAGAGGAATTTTGTTCCAGAAGAACATAAAGGAATTCAAAAGGCAGAGTTTACATAGAAATTTCAGGTGGTACCAAGACTTTAGATTTTATTCCGCGGGTGGTAGAGAGCCACTGAAAGTCTGAGCAGGAGAGTGATGCCAGAGTTGTGGTTGAGGATTATTTAGCAGCATTTTATTGGGACTGATAGAAACTGGAAGAAATGGATGATACCAAAGGCATATACCAACAAGTACCACAAGGGGGAGATGTATAGCTTTTTGCCTCATTCTAGTAGAGAGCATACATGATTAAAAAAATAAAATAAGATAAGTAAAAAAATCATGCTCACGAATCTGAAAAGCATGAACCTTGGCATAAACTGATTATATGTTTTGAAGCTTGGAAAGCAATTGTATTTACAAGTATCTTTTTCCTTTCCGAGAGTAATATTGTATCTTGTTAGTTAAAATGAGCAAGTGATTAAAAAAAAAAAAAGTCATCTTAGTCATAGGAAGAGAAGTTACAGAGCAGAGGACTATCTGCCCAAGAAAGTCCTCCATTCAGATATAGCCATGTTTTCAGGAAGAGGGATAGAAAATGGGACTGGGGGAGGAGGTGGTAGGACCAGAAATTTAAGTGAGATTGTAATATAGGAATATAAAAGTATCAGAGGGTGACAGGTGAAAGAAAGGAAAATTGAGACGATAAAGTTGGAGATTAGCACTTAATAGGAATGAACAAGTCATGGCATAAAAAAAAAACCAGAAAAAACAACTCTATTTTCTTATGGGGGTAACTATATAAAATAAAGTTTGCAAAACTATTTTAGGATTATCTTCTAATAATTTTTTTCTCTGGGACATATCGTATCCATATGAATCATTTAAAAAATATGTGATATCAGTGGTACATATCGAATATACCAGGACCTCTTGCAGTTTTTGCCTAAAATGTCTTTTGAAAAATGGAATCAGCTAGGCATAGTGGTGCATGCCTGTAATCCTAGCAGTTTGGGAGGCTGAGGCAGGAGGATCTCAAGTTCAAAGCCAGACTAAACAACTTAGTGAGGCCCTAATCAACTCAGCAAGATCCTGTTTCTAAATAAAAAATTTAAAAGGCTGGGGATGTGGCTCAGTGGTTAAGCGTCCCTGGGTACCAAAAAAAAAAAAAAAAAAAAAAGGAATCAATTAGGAAAATCTAGATGTTAAAATCATCCTACTTGCTGGTTTAATTGCTAAATTATATCCCTGGAGCAAGATTAAAGTTCTCCCTAAAGAGTGCAGTTTGAATCTCCTTTTATTTATTTATTTTTGTGGCTCTGGGGGATCCAAACCAGGGCCTCATACATGCTAGGCAACTGCTCAACCACTGACCCACATCCCCAGCCCTACAACTTTTATTGTTTATTTATTTATTTATTTATTTATTTATTTATTTTGGTACCAGAGAATGAAGTCAGGGGCCCCTAACCACTGAGACAAATCCCCAGTCTTTTTTATTTTTTTATTTTGAGACAGGGTCTCACTAAGTTGCTTAGGGCATCTCTAAGCTGCTAAGGATGGCTTTGAACTTGCAATCCTCCTGCTTCAGCCTCCCAATTTACTGAGATTACAGGAATACACCACTGCACCTGGCTTATTTTAAAAAAAAAAGCAAGAAAAAGAACACACAGAAGTTATTACATGCTGAAGACATGGGCATATTAGACTCCTGAATTTCCTTTTAATACCCTCTTTTGTGTGTGTGTGTGTGTGGGGGGTGCTTGTAATTGAATCCAGGGCCACTCTACTAATGAGCTATATCCCTAGCCATTTTTATTTTTTACTTTTTAATTTTGAGATAGGTTCTTGTTAAGTTTCCCAGGTTGGTCTCAGACTTGACAATCTTCCTGCCTCAGTTTCTGAAATTGCTGGGATTACAGGTGTGTGCCACCATACCTGACTTGAATACCCTCTATTATGTCTTTTCTTTTGCCTTTTATGATGCCCCAAGCCAAGAGGCTGGAAGGATACAGTGTTGATCATATCTATCCTGTCTATCCTTTGCTTAAAGGGGTTAAAGAAATGCTTCAAGCCTTCCTGGTAACATTGTCAGGTCAGTTTCACAGAAGGAGGGAAGGAAGCTCACCTGCTTGGTGAAGCATATGTCATTCTTTCCATTGTGTCAAGGACAGTGTGAAATAAGAGTCTGTGGCTGACTTTATCTGGTATCACCTGCCTGGGATGAATGAATTAGCAGCAGTTCTGGGTTAACACAGTAAACACAGGCAAGTCTGGCTGAGGTTGGGTACACCCAAGATCCTAAAAATTCAAGACTTTTAATTTTATTTTTTTGTAGCTCAGTGGCCAAGTTGGRCTTTCTCGTTTGTAGGCTGCTTTGGACTACTTTCCTAATAGATTATAAATGCCAGCCTTTCAAACACATGACATTTAAAAGAGATCTCCACCATTAAACTTTGATTCCATTTTCTTCAGCTCTGTTCACTTTCTTTTCGAATATGGATTGTCATTTCCATATGAAACTTTCATGATATATGTCAAAAATCTCTGATGTAGTAGCCTTCTAGGAAATATTCTCTTTCAAATCTTACACAGATTCGAATGGATTAGACAACCAGGTTTTAGACATATTTTTATTTTGTTGTAGGTCTCTTCTTCTTCTCCCTTAATATGTGCCCCAGGGATATAATAGCACTCAGCAGACTTTTGTCCTCTCCCACGTTTATTGACTCTGAGAAGTAAGGGGTTTTAGCATTTTTTAGAATAGCTGGGAGAGTGCAGAGA